AAAACACAGCAATTGGTACTTGGCACTAGGTTAACAGGTTAGTCCCAAAAATGATATAAAAATAGCATAATAATGCATATAAAGCATCCAAGATGGATAATATAATAGCATGGAACAATAAAAATTATAGATACATTGGAGACGTATTAGGGAACCTCTTCAGAAGCCTCAGACTCCTCGGCGGAGTCCGAGCTATTGTCAGACAAGGCCACCTTGGCCCTGCATTGCCTCTTCGGAACAGGAGGAGGCTGATCCTCCTCGGTGTCATCTGACGCCGCCCTCTTCCTTGTTCGGGAGGAGTTGCTCTCCTCCCCATCCTCTCCTTCTCTCCATCATGAGCGGAGGGGGCTTGGGTTTCCCCGGACTTAGTATCCAGGGGTCCTCTAGGGCGGAGGCCTTCTCGGGCCTACCTCTTCTCGCCTTTATTCTTCTCCTTCTTCTTCGGCGCCTTGTATGGCGCCACGGCCAACATTTCTGTCAGCAAGGACATCCTAGGGCCCTCGGGCAGCGGGTCCAGGCTATCGATCTACACAACATTTTCAGCAAGCTCTGTGTTGGGAAGAAGAAGGAAGAAAGTACTTTGTCAAAAAGGAATATCCAAACATAATGGTGAAATTTGTCATACCACCCGAGGGGGCATCTTGGCATTGAGGCCGATGGCCTCCTCCGTGGCTGGCCAGTCTTTTTGAGGCTTGAACAACACCTTCCACAATTTGTCCTGGGAGGTGCGGTAGAAGCAGAGCACGGTGATTGGGTCTTCGGGCTTGTAGGACCACATGGGGACGACCCGGTATTGACATGGTAGGAGTCGCCGGCGAAGCATGATCTGAATTACGTTGGGTAACTCGACCTTCTTCATCATCTTGGATATCCAGCTCTGAAGTGACTCCACCTCTGTGGTGGACCCCAGTCTAGGCCTTTCTTGGTCCATGAGACCAGCCTGGTGAGGGTCCATATCAGAAGGCAGGAATCTCTGCCCAAGCCGCACCTCGTGGTTCCGTGATGTAGAACCACTCCTTCTGCCAGATCTTGACGGTCTCTATGAAAGTGTCTTCCGGCCACTCAACCCGGGGGAGTTTCCTGACCATTGCCCCCCCCCACCCCAGTCTGTCTGTTGGTCATCAACAATCTTGGGCTTGATGTTGAAGACCTTTAGCCACAAGCCGAAGTGTGGCCGGACCCGAAGAAGGGCCTTGCAGATGACGATGAAGGCCGAGATATGCAAGAAGGAGTTCAGGGCGAGATCGTGGAAATCCAACCCGTAGAAAACATCAGCCCCCTAACAAAGGGATGGATAGGAAAACCTAGTCCCCGGATGAAGTGAGGGAGGAACACTACCCTCTCGCCTGGCTTCGGCGTGGGGACGACCTAGCCCTCCTCTAGGACGGCGTGAGCAATGTTGGCTGGTTGGTAGCCCGCGCTTTTCAGCTCCATTATGGTTCCTCGGTGATACCGGAGGCCTCCCACTTGCCCTTGGAGCCTGAGGCGGCCATGGCTAATCGAAGAGATGTCCGGAGGAGTCTTTGGGTGGATGGACAGATTTGGGTGCTGGAGCTCAAGAGACTGGGAAGGCAATGGAAAGGGGGGTGAGAGCGTGCGGTGAAAATGGTGGTGGCTCCCCTTTTATGGGCTGCTGTAATACCAAAAGCCCTTTTAATGCACCATAGACCTTGCGTCTTCTCGATATAATCGTGTCATTGTGCGCATGTGGGATAACCCAGATCATTGATCACATCCGTTGAAAACAAGACACGATCTCCATATTGATGGGACATGCCAATGGAGAAACCGCCTCGAACCGCGAATCAAGTTTTCATAACTGGCTAGTGGTTATTATCGGTCGTGACCTTTCAGTGAAAGTTGTCAGTTAAGGACACTATTCACACTTGGGAAACTGGTCTTCGAGGCTAAGTAATGCATACAATTTAGAAATCATGACATAATCCGGACAAGGGGTGACAGCAGACCTGGCGCAAGCATCATGGAAGGAAGGAACTGGTCCACAAAGCCGATGACTCCCGCACATACCTCGGCTTTGAAGACTAGTTTGGGGCTACTAAGGATGTCCCAGACTAAGGGGTCCTCGGGCTATGCGGACAGTTGGGCCACTCTTGATCCATCATTGGAAGGCCGAGTTATAAGTGATTCCGTGTTCGGGAAGGAAACCTCTGAAGCCTTGGTGTGTCCTCCAAGTCAAGATAAGGGAGTTGGCATGTTTATCCCCTGAAGGTAACCGACCATGTGTAACCCTAGGTATCCCTAGTATCTATATAAATCAAAGGGTTTAGTCCGTAGAGGCTAGAACCATCATCCTACTCATCTAGGGTTTACTTCATCCGATCTCGTGGTAGATCAACTCTGTAACCATCATACACACACATCAATACAATCAAAACATGACGTAGGGTTTTACCTCTTTGAGAGGGCCCGAAACTGGATAAATATTGTCTATGCATTCCTTGTTCCCCATCGATCCAAGATCTACAGTTCGGGACCCTCTACCCGAGATCCGCCGGTTTTGACACCGACATAGCCCACCTGGCACCACCCTCCCCGCCACCCCAGAAATATGTCTGGAACTCTTGGCCCATTCTAAAATCGCGCACTCATAGTGTTGGCTCTCATATATTTGTGCATATACACTCTAATTGATCCTCGTTTTCGCATAGATATAGGTCAGAACTTTTCGTCACCACACACGTCAACAACATTACAAATCAAACCATATTTGTTATCTTTTAAATTCAAATTTAAGTAGGACATATACTTTAAATGCATGAACAAAAGACAAAGCATCATACAAGACCAAAGTTCAACCAAAAGCATTTACCATGCGCAAATTCAACCACATGAAAAATCACTTGTTGCCTACGCCACTATCTCCTCCCAAATTTGCACCAGTCCCTCATCCCGTGTGTTAATCTCTCATAGGTTCCCCCAACCTTGTCCATTGAATTTCCCTAGATGAAGGGAGGATCAGGAGCCGTCTGGGAAGTGGCGGAGCCCGGCGCATGCTTGTGCTTTGGATTTTAACTTTTTGTTACCACACACTTCAACAACATTGTAAATCAAACCATAGTTTTCATTTTAAAATTCAAATTTATATATGACATAGACTTCAAATGCATGAACAAAAGATGAAGCATCATACAAGAACAAAGTACAACTAAAAGCAATCACCATGCACACATTCAACCAAAGGAAAATCACATGTTAGTCAGCACCACCATCTTCTTCCAAGTTTTCACCGCTCCCTCCACATGTGTGTTGGTCGCTTCATAGCATCCTAGAAGCCATGATCCCCGACCACCTATCTCCGAAAATGTTATTGTCCTTTCACCAATGACATTTGGATACAACATCATGAATCGGTTCTCCTTGGCCACCTTTTCATGCATCAATCAATTCTTCTCAAGTTGAAGTCTATGTGTCTCCATCTCTTCCTTGCACATTTTTTTCTTTTCGTTAATCTATTCCCACCGCTCCAACTTCACTTGTTACCTCCTCTCTGCCAAATCAATTTTCCTTTGCATCACTTGAGCCGTCAACTCCTTTGCGTTGATCACTCACCAATCTTGACACCACTGCACACAAAAAATGTGCGAAAAGTATTGCCACTTTGCACAATTGAAGCGAACAAGTTGAAAGACCAAGGGAAAACGATGTTTTATCAACTAGGCATTTCATCAAACACTTCGCCATTCATAGGTTCCCTCAATCTCGTTCATTGAATTTCGCCAAACGAAGGGAGGAAGGAGAGCCGTGTGAGATGCGATGGAGCCTGGCACATTCTTGCGCTTCGGACTGCCCTTCGTGCTAGGCGCCCAGCCTCCACCGACATTGCGTTGCAGCAGCTGCGAGACGGGAAAGACAAAGTCGACGTCGACAATGGAAATGAAGGGTCATTCACTAGTGTGCCCGACTCGTCGGCGATCGAGCCCACGAGGTGATGGCCTTGGCGGTGGCAGGGTAATGCATGCAACCCAAGAGGCGTAGGTTCTGCGAGGCACCAATGGAACACAACGTCAGCGGTAGGGACAGCCAAAGGCATCGCTATGACAAGACAGGGGCAACGATGTCGCGAGCGCGAAGAAGGAATGCGAGCGGAAATGCCTGTCACGCTAGGTCATTTTCAGGATGGAGTGCGCTCCAAATTATCTCCTCCAAATATGTAGGCAAGAGTGACAAAGTCCGGGTCCGCAATTCATTTTGCAGCCCATTCACCATAAAAATAGTTATTATGGAATTCCACCCGATACGACTCTGATAGAGTTGCTCTAAGGTGCGTTGTAATTTTTCTATCAAAAACATAATGCCAAACAAGTTTCCACGTAGAACAAAGGATTTGTAGTCTAAATGTGTGCTTTGCTAGAGGCCTCCATGTCTTTCTTTCCTTTTGTAATTGGAAGATATATATACCTCCATGTTAAGTTATTGAAGACGCGGAAACGAACAACCTGAGCAAGGCTATAATATAACCTCACATGGGAATTTGATATGAAACAGCCCACGAATTCTGAACACTAGTCTTGAACATCAGCACGGTTGTTAACATGGAGAACACAGACTGATGTTACAGCATTACACCGCTCAAGCTTAACATCTCCAAACAAGATACACGGACATAATCGGAACTGCGAAACAGAAGTGACCCTACGTAACTCAGTAACTACGACGAGACCCGACAAATCCGGTCAAGGCCAACCAACTAAACCTATCACAGACTAGGCCGGTCTGACTGCATCTAGGCAAACCACATGTCTCTCTATAACGATACACTTCCCTTAGCATGATCGCCATTGTTCAATCGAACAGGAGGATGTTACATTCTTGCTTGGTGTCAATTGAGGACCTGGCCATCATGAAACCATAATAGATTGAATAGTTAACCTTACCACCGAGCGAGTACCCAATGCCCAGAACCAGAAACTTCAGCTGTACAAGATTTCCAGCAGCATCTGTCAGGTGGTGGCGGTGTTATCAACGAATGTTGGCAGGGCTCATGGTTGCGCACTCCGGTGGCTTGGCCTTAGCGCCTTAGCAAAGAAGTTGCGGAGCTCAGGGATGACGCGCTGGATTAGCTGAGAGAAACTGCATTTGCAAGATGGCCAGTTAGAAGGATTAGGATTTTTGTTGCTTGAAGAGCGTTACATTATTATGTACCAATGTGGTGGCCCTAAATTAAGATACCCACCCGGGTCTGGTGCAGATCTTATCAAACTGCTCCAAAATAAACAAGACGCACGTATGTCTCAGTGACATGGCATGAAAGGCTTCGGATAAGTCATACATATCAGAGACGTTGTCTAAATTAACATCCTGCAAGATATTCAATACAATCAATTAGACCCAGTCGGCAGCGGTTCAAACATAGAACTTTGGGGGTAATGTTCCTGAGATCACCTGCGCAATTGTATATTCACATAGGCGTTTGAGGCCTTCTAACAGATACTGATCTGCAGCTCTCAGAAGATCTTGAGCAAGCTCGTTGGTTACTTCGACTGACCCTGTATAGATAAATCTGCACAAAACAAAGAAGATGTTCCCAAACTTCAATTGCAGGCAGCAGGCCTTGTCCCGTAAGAGAAAGGAACTAACATGCAGATTTACCCATGGGCAATGGCCAAGGAACAAGAATGGTCAATGATTTACTAACCTCATCATGAGTTCAAACACGTCCCACCTGATATTTGGAATTTCTATGTCTCTTGCATCCTTTTCCTGGTTGAGAAAATGGTGAGTTTCTTGTAAACAGAAATTGTTCAACTAGCAAACAAGATCCACAGCTTCCAACCAAAAAAGGAATATCATGTTATGTCGAGACTAACCCTGTATCCACCATCAAACATTGCACGGAATGCATCTGAAGAAGCAAGCAAAGCAATTCTGTGTGCATAAAAGCGTTTTCCTGCGGATCACAAGGGAGGTGATTATTATGGTCCTAATGAAAAAACAGCAATTATCTAAAGTAGTTTCTGTGAAGGCAGGGTGCAGAAACGTCACGAACCTTCCACCAAGAAGGTGACATCTGAAAGTGTCGAACTGTTCACATATTGCTCTCCAAGATAAACCTGCAGCCAGAAGTACATTTAGTAATAGCAATAGCCAGAATTATGGATGGACCAATCCATCGGTATTAGGAGTTGATTTATGGCTCATTAAGAATATCCAGGATAGGGCAAGGTAAAGCCTTGCCAACTACTAAGAACAGACTGCTAAGCAGTATAAAATTACATGACAGAACAGGTTGCAGATGTCACGATTTGTAGGAAATAACATTTTAAGTTAGTTTGTGCACATATGATCTTGATTTAATTCAGATCTTGCTAATAGCTCCAAAGTAGTACTAGCATATATCCCTAGAACTATATTTTTTACGACAATTTTGTTAGACAAATCTCTCTTCCAAGCACTGTGAAGACCTTATTCACTTCAATAGCATAACTACATAGTCAAGACAAATCACCTTTTTTTTAGTTTCTACTAACCTGTGGCGTTGGAGATGGAGGTGCAGCATCCATCGGAGAGAGTGCTGCAGCTTTGTTGGCTAATTTGTATAGTGCTACCGAACCATCCTGTTGATGTTTCGAGCTGACCGAAACCAGAAGATCAAGAAGCAAGTCGAGACCTGAATTAAGCCAGAATTTAATCCATGGAGAACAAAACACAAATGAAACAAGGAACACTTAAGATGTCAAATTGTTCATACCATTATTATCAATAAAAATTGTTCGCTGATCTTCAGGGGCACAGAGGTGTGCGAGAGCCAGAGCAACACGCCTCTGCACAGACTTTTCTCCTACTCTCATGAGATAAACCAAGTGTTTTAACACCTGTTAAAGATCGCGCGTGAGTCAGCTGGAGTAGATGCCACAGCTTGGCAAATAAAAGAAAAAAGAAACAGTGAGCAAAACTTACTCGTCCATTTATCTTCTCCTCTAGCCTCTTCAATGTCTTAGCTACACAGTCCTTTGTAGCCTGAAAAAAAGTGCTTAACCCGACTCAGGTATAAATTTACTAAGAAAGTACCAACCTATGCTATGATGGTTGACATACCTGGACGATAAATTCTCCATCCTGCAACTTTTGGACACCTCCTACTTTAACGAAGTCAGAGACATAATCCTACAAGAAGAAAGTTATTATTGATACATGAAAGTAAGAAGCTTACATAAAACAGAAATGGAACATGACTACATGAGTTCGTTCCCTTTGAAGAACAAATATGAAATAATAAATAGAAACCAATATTTTGAACAATAAAAAATTACCTCATTGTCCGCAACTCCATAAAGAGCAAACGCAGCATTATGTTGCAGAGAACCATTTTTTGAGTCAAGAAGCTTTAGTAAAGGCAACAAGCCACCATTGTATGCAATACCTGCTTGGTTATGTGTGTCCTGTGAAAGAAAAGATTTTCTTTCAAATTAGCCATACAGGTTAATCAAGATAAATAAGTAAATAAAATATGCCCACTCCAAACAAAGAGATAACACACTAAAACTAATAGAATACTGTTTCATTTTCCAATCCCATGATTGGAATGTTTACAGCTTAGAAAGACAATGAAAAGGGAATAACTTGGCATGTGCCTGACACTAAAATATCTAAACTCTTGCTTACTAATCCCTCCGTTCCTAAATATAGGTCTTTCTAGATATTTCACTATGGACTACATACAGATGTATATAGACGTAGTTTAGAATGTAGATTCATACATTTTGTTCCGTATGTAGTCCATATTGAAATCTCTAGAAAGACTTATATTTAGGAACGGAGGGAGTACAAGTCTTTGTAGAGATTCCACTATGGACTACATACGGAGCAAAATGAGTGAATCTACTCTAAAATGCATCTACATACATCCGCATGTGGTCCATAGTGAAATCTCTACAAAGACTTATATTTAGGAACGGAGGGAATAACAAATACAGAATGTGGCAATGTACTGCATGGAGTCCAGATGACACCTGGTAGGCAAAAAAAAATATCCAACATGATATGCCATATGACAATGACCATTGGGGCTTATGTTTCAGCCTTTGGCTTATGTAGATCAAAGATGTTAGTTTAATTTGTAAAACTGTATTTCAATTTATGTACAAGAATCTGTAAAACTGTATATCAATCTGTATGTGTGCAATGCTGCAGTTTAAATTGATCTGATTGTATTTGAACAGGGTTTATCTCTCACGTAAAAGTAAAATTAATCAAATAATCTGGCAGAGAAGTTATCTCTTGTACAATTTTGTCAATTCTAATAGTGATTGTATTTGAACAGGGTGACTTCATCATGCATGTCAAACAGGCATTTCACTGCGAAGAATCTGCCAGGGAGAAAATGGTGTATTTTCCTTCAGGACTATTCAGAAATGCGCATGTTCAAGAGATATGCTGAACTATGCTGGGTTACGATTACTTGTCGCGGGACAATGGATACAGCGAAGAAGCATATATACAAATAAAAGGTACAAATCTGAACAGAAACCATTTGAGAGGCAGATGCTCAACAGTTAGTCTGGATATTTAACACACACAAAGAGAATGAGCTGCATGGCTTCAATTACTGATGGTACATTAAACATAACCTGTGGTCACTCTCATGTCAATCCTTCTAAGAGGGGACACTGCATCCCAATGTAAAATCAACATAGAGAAAAAGGGAAGCAGCAAAGTTGAGAAAGTGCTCTGTCACTATGTCAGGTGATTTATGAAGGGAAGTAAGGATTGTCATTGTTGTTTCTCTTTCACTGCTACAATGCGTCCCCAAAATACTTGCAGTAAAACCCGCTGACAAACATAAGCAATCAGATTGATATTGTTGTGTGCAAGGGGAGTATAGAATGAGAAATATAACCTGTGCAAGCCTCCCAAGGGCAAAAGCTGACATCTCCCTGAGTTGGAAGTCAGCTGACTGTAGCATGTCAATTAGTGGTCGGACTGCCCCCCGTTGCACAATATGGACCTGCCAAACCCCATACATGCATATTTAGAGAGGATAGCTCAAAAAATAATTCTGTACTCTTTTGATTCACCATGGCTAACTCTTTATCGTACGAAACAACATATTTAGTAAGTAGGTAGACATAATCAATCAATGATATGTAGCACAAGAGTATTATATAGGAAAAAGTACTTCATTTTATTTTTTACTCTTCCACTTCATCACTCGTCATAAAAAAAATGGAGCTAACAACAAATGAAGCATCCGTAAGCACCTTGCACTCAGAGTCGGCCGAAGCAAACTGCCCTAGCAACAAAGCAGCTTCTCTTTGGCTTTCCGTACAGCAGGAACTGCAAAAGAAAAGATGAAGCACAGGTTCTTTAAGCTGGAGAGCAGACTCAGGGTAACCATGCCTTCATATACTAAGATTGGGACTACAATAAAACAGTTTCTCGTGTTACAATATGGATATGATATGGAATCTGGGTTAGAAGATAATTTGCTACACGCAAGCTTACACTTGAAAATCTCATAAGATTATATCATTATAATCACATATTGTTTTGACCTTAAAGCAACAAAATTAATCCGCATCCAGGAACACATGCACAATGGTGTAATCAGTAATCGAGTGTGTATTGCTCATGTACAGCTAAAAGTAAAGTATATAGAATTTGAATTTCCAGCAGTACTCTAGCAGAACTCAACAAATAAATACAGTAAATATGCATTTCATTATTAACAGATACTCCCTCTGTAAACTAATATAAGAGCGTTTAGATCACTAAAATAGTTATCTAAACGCTCTTATATTAGTTTACGGAGGGAGTACAATTAAAACTATCATCATAAGCTGCATATGACGATCATCATACCTTAATAGCCCAATTACAGGTTGCAAGGCCCCCGCATTAAGAACCTCTTTCTTGATATTTGGGGATGAATGGACCAAATTTCCAATGACACCAACCTGCCACGCCAACAGAGTGTATTTAGTACTTACTGGCATGCACAGCAAAAACAATATCATACATATGGCTAGTTCCACGACTAGGGTGATTTCATGCAAAATTGTCACAATATGTTGTATACAGAGAACTTTATGAGGACAGCCTTTGCATTTGGCAAAAGTATAAATCTATATGTAATTGATAGAAGCAAATAGTCGGATCATTTTCTTTGTATAAATTTCACAGGATCAGTAACTCCATTGCTAAGTTAAAGGTGTTAATGTTCCAAATTTCCAATTGGCTGATGTGGAATAGCTCTTCTTTTGTAACACTCCAAAAAGTAAGTTGCGTGCATCGCATCAAATATATAAAGCTACAGGACAGGTGCTCAAACTTGCCTAGTTAGGTTGTGATATTAAGGTTCTTAACGTCAATTTTAGCCTGGCAGACTTCATCAAGGTCTCAGCTTGCTTAATTGTACTACTTAGGCCCATCTTCAATAATGTGACAGAAAAATGAGTTCCTCAAACAAGCCCATTTGTGACATTAAGGTCCTTAACTTCAATTTCAGAATTGCAGGCTCCCTCAAGGCCTCAGCTTGCTCAATTGCACTAACTAGGCCTATCTTTAGTAATGCGACAGAAACTGGTGTGGCAGAGCACAGTACGGATTATAAGGATGCTTTGCCTCTACTAATTATGAACCTCAAGCTTGTCATACCAATTAAGCATCTTCCATGTCAAATTAATTTTCCATCATTTAGCCAACGAATGGATCTAACTAGCTCAATTAAGCAAGCTCCGATAGGCTAATGTTTAGTTCAAAGCCCAAACACCTAGATACACAGCCAGGAAGCCTGACAACCTCTAATGCAATTCATTTTTCTGATAATCAGCATGTTTTGTGTAGCTTTATTTCTTATTCTGCACTTGCTGCAATACGAGTCACTATGACTTAGAACGAGTTCATCAGACGATTTTCTAGGAATTCCACTGTGGCATACTTATATACTTGCTGCCATCATGCACTAGGTTCATTTGTGCAATCAAGTATAGCTCTCACCAAGTTCTATTACACTGCGTTTGGATGTCCCCATTGAAGCCCAGGAAATCAAATTGCTAATCATCTGACATCAATACGGATGTTTGGTTGCGCACTGAATTCGTATTGGAAACGCCAGACCATTTCCAAGCCGTATTGCCTCCAACGTAAAGCTCACTCCCATGATTCGGAGGGCTCCCGCTCTGTTTTCCTCTGAATCGTCCATCTCCCGCAACTTACCCCTTCGACCCCAGCAATCAGGAAAAGAGAAGAAAGGGGATCTCGCAGAGACGGCGGCCTACTAGGGCGGCGGCGACCAACCATGGCGCTCAGCGGCGGCGCAGCTCTGTCCTCCCCCTTCCGTCCCTTCCCTCCCCAATCCCGGTCCCCGTTGCTCTGCCCCCTCCCGCATCCCTCCGCTCCGGGTCACCATCTCCCGTGGCGACCACCATGGAGACCAGTCTCCATCCCCATCCCGACTTGACGGCGACCACCATCCCATCTGGTGGCCGCGGCGACCATCATCCCATCCCGTCCCCATCCCCATGTGTTGCATCCCTCTCCCCTTACCACTGATTCAATCAGTCCTATTCAGCACCTCCTTCTCCACCATGTCGTTATTTTCTTCCTTCTTTACAGAGAAATTCTGTCTCGTTGATTTTGAGTATGGGTCATATGGCTACCGTGATGAGTACGCATGCTTTGGTTGTGACTATAACCTGTACTTTCTCTTCTTGTTGTGTGACCATTTGTCTTGTTGTGATTCATTTCTAGAATATTTACTATTTTTTACTGCTATATATTCATTCAATTATAGTCACATGTGAGCAGATTTAATTTTTCAGTCATGTACACCAAGATATAATCTTCATGCTAATGTAGCTATGCAATTCCAAAGTTTGTCATCCAAACAAGATTTGGTATTGAAACCTCAGAGGCATTTCAAGGGTCAATTCAGTGAACAGCCAAACAGTCGAATTCGTATTCGTGCCATTTCAGTTTCCTCACCGAATTGGAATTCTAGTCCAATTCAATACGGAGTGTTCCAATACGGACATCCAAACAAAGCGTTATCCTTTTTTTTGCTTTATTTTTATATGAGACTCATTTTTCTACCAACTGAGCTATCCTGCACATTTTTATGAGTGAAATGACACCAGTCTTCTAGCAATGATGTGATGATCCCACTCATTCTTTGAGTAGACTGGTTACCAGATACTACGACCCCTAAAGGCACACTGCCTTGAGGTACACTCAAAGTAGATCACATTGGTCCAGCTACCTTATCGATTGAAACCGAATCATCATGAATAGACAATATTTTTAGATCCTGTTTCTCATTGATTTGGGGGGTAAGATTTCTCATATCTGTGTTCCTCTCAGTTTCTCCTAAAGTAATGTATGTTGATGAGATTTGATCTAATTAGCTCACTTGTAATAACTCTATTCTCCCTGGGTCAGACTATTCCAAAGAAAGCTCTCCTCTACCGCCATGGGATCTCGCACCAAACAGAAGTAAGAACTAGTTCGTTCACTCCATCAGGCAGCATCTTTTCTTCCGATAGCTGCAGTTCCGGACATCAGAAATGATGTATCAAAGCACCAACTCTTTTGTTGCCTATTGTCCAAGGTATTTTTTAAGCGCTAGGCACTGAGCGAGAGTTGTGCCTCTGCTTAGTGCAATGACAGCTTCAGCGGCGGCTTAAGCGGTGCCTAGGTGCTGAAGCTTTCTGTACGGACGTCATATGGACAGGAACAAGGGCACCCAAAAATCAATTTTCAAAACATGTAAGTCATGTATAAAGCCTAAAATCGCAAGCATGTTGGGGAAGAAGAGACAAGGAGGAGCTCGAGCTCAGGGAAGGGGAAGCAAGCTGGCAGCGGTGAGGCTGGAGAGAAATCACCAGGCTCCAGCCTAGACAAGGAGGAGCTCGAGATTGGGGAAGAGGGGAGAGGACTGGCGGCGAGGTCGGGGACGGGAGCTCGAGGTCCAGCAGCGCTAGGTCGGGGAAGAAGATGGGTGGTGAGGCCCGGGAAGAAAGCCCCACATCTGGCGGCACAAGGTCGCCTTGCTCTCCTCTGTTTCTCTCACCCCGCTCTCCTTTGTCTAACCCTAGGCATCCGAGCGCTTTGTTTCAACGCTTACCACAAAAACAAAGCGGTAGGCCTCCGCTCATCACTTAAGCGCGCCTAGGCGTACACTCAATTTTTCACTGCCATTGTCTAGTGGTTCAGGACATCTCTCTTTCAAGGAGGCAGCGGGGATTCAACTTCCCTGGGGGTAGGGAGTATTATGAAAGGAGGTTAATCATGACGGTCAAGACCATAGATATTGATAGATAGAACTTCAATTTGTTTGTTGAAGTCAAGCAATTCTACTTGCTCACAATCACAAGAAATTTCTCCCCCGCCATATTTCTTCTCCGCTGTTTGTCCACTACCTCGGCTGAACCTAAGCAAAAGAATAAGAAGTCCAAGAGACTGAAAGTCTAGTTTTCGTAATCGACAGATTCGTTAACATGCCACTGAACCACTTTTCATTAACATAATGACAATATGAGCCCTTATTGCAGCTCTAGAATCTCTAGACAAAGGAATTACTCTATCCTTTATTTAATATTTAATAATAATAAGAGACAACAATTCAATACACTGAAGGAATTGGGTTCTGATGCACATCAATATCGATACAGTGCACCATAACTGCATTGCTCATAATGTAAATGGAGTATAATGATAAGTAAGTTAAGGTAAGTGCCGCTGTGCCGACTAACCTAAGTTATATTGCAACTTGAACAGAAATTTTGACCTGGAAGTTTCCCAAGCAATATATAGTACTAAGGTTCACCATTAAGCCAATCAAGACAATACATTTTGAGGCCTTAGGATAACTGTTATTCAAGATTGTAGAAAATAAGAGAAATAGCAAGGTTCAAAACCAGAACAATGTTTTCCTGTAATAGATACATGACAAGTGCCGCACTAAAAATGAAGAGGGGTTCAACCAAAGAAGTATATTTGATGAAAATATATGAATATTCAGTATCTTACTGCTTCATAGTGAATTGCAGCATCCTCTGACCGCAGCATTAAGATTAACGTTGGCAGTGCATTGCAATCAACGATCTGCATTAAGGAGTTAAAGGGAAGATTTACCATCTAGAAGTAAGGAAACAATATACATGGGTGAATGATGAAAGTCTGGTGTTAATATCTACTCCCTCTGTTCACTTTTGTAAGTCGTTTCAGACAACTCAAAATAAGCTGTTTTGCACATTGTCTGAAATGTCTTCAAGGTCTTATAAAAGTGAACAGAGGGAGTAACATTAATGTTGGTTTCATTAACTTAAACTTTCTTGTATTCTTACCAGGGTTTTGTTTTCATCATTTTTAAACGCCAAAGTCCTCAAGGCCCCTGCAGCTGCCCTCTGCACCTTAATATCCTGTGATTCTAGCAATTCAACGAGAGGTGGGATTCCGCCTTCAATTCTGCAGTACAACAAAACCATCAGCAAGCACAGAAAACTTTCATGGAAACGCAGCATTGACTAGTGAGTGGTAGATAGAATAAAACCTGATACAAGTTTTGATGTTGCTATTCTCATGAGCAAGGTTGGTAATTGCATCAGCTGCTCTTCTGATAAGGCTGTTAACTGCCCTCGAATTTGTAGCATTTTTATGCCTTCTTAGGAGAGTCACCAGCAGGGGTAGGGCACCAGCATCAACTATAAGTTGTTGATGTTCAGGCTGGTAAACCAACACAAAAAGTAATAAATGACTAAATTCTGAGAGTAACATAGCTAAAATCATAACAATGAAGTAGTCGCGTTGAAGAAAAGTTAACAATAATATTTATGGATTGCCTAAAGAGAACTAGGCAAGGTTGAAACCTATTCTGCTTGAACCCAAGTATACCTAGATTCTTATGAAGGCGTATGAGGTTACATTTACAGACAGACAAGAGATTAGGGGAAGGGAAGAGAGTGGTATTTATTTTCCTCTTGCATTTTGCTACGAAATGGGATGTTTCATGTATGAGCCGGCCACGGCCCAGAAAATTGGGATTATAAGAACAATTCAAGCAATTGCAATGGAATGTAAGCAAAATCTCAGCTAAAGTGCAAAGAGGAAAACTAATCGAATTAACCTTTACGGCTAGGAGCCCGAGAGCAAAGGCAGCCCCCTTCTCCACCTCGTGCTCGAACGGCCGCGGCTGCTGCTCCTCCTCCACCGCCGCCGCCATAGGGGGCACCTTCAGGTGGCACACCAACGCCGGCACGGCGCCGCCCTCTACGATTACGTTCACCATCTCCTCTGCGGCAAAAGCAGCAAGCAGATCCGCCTCAGTAACGGCGCCTGGACGGGTGGGGAAGAGTACGGATCGGCACGGTGGGCGTAGGGTTGGGGGATTACCGTTTTTCGCGAGCTCGGCGAGGACGCTAGTGGCGCGCTTGGCGGTGGCGCGGTCGGCGTGGCGCCACGAGAAGCAGTGGTGGAGGGCGTCGACCTGCGTGCGGACCTCGCGGGCGACCGCCGCCTGGGACTGGCGGCAGCAGATCTCGGGGCCGACGGAGCCCTCGTCGTCCTCGTTGTCGTCGTCGGCATCGGCGCTGCCGAGCGGCGACGAGACGGCGGCGGCCGCTGCGGCGGCGGCGGCGGCGGCGGCGGCGGCTGCGGCGGCCGAGGCGGCGGCCTCGTCGTCAATCCTGCGCTTCTGTGCCTTGCGCCGCGGGCGCTGCGGCTTCTGCTGCTCCGCCTCCATTAGAGCGGGTCGACGGCGATGAAGGTGGGGAACTTGTCGGAGGCGGAGGAGGAGGGAAGGGCAGAAGCAAAGAGTATGCGCGCCCCAGCGCGATAGGGATTTATTCCGCGTTCGGTTAAAATTGAGCACTTTTTATTTTATATACTGTAAGAAAAGAGAATGATACACTTTCTTTCCTCATTGTTGTGTACAGTAGTACTATATTTTGATTTAATTTTTTTTGCATGGGTATATATTTTGATTGGTGATGACAAGTTCAGAACTATTCTTGCGCACGTACGGATACGGTGAGAAAATGATGATAAAGGTGTAATATACTCCCTGATGTAGAGTATTTTCTTTCTTTTTACCAAAAAAATTAATTTGTAACTTTTTCCTCTTTCCTTTTTCAAAAAATATCAATATATTCATAATTTGTCATGCCAGTACAAAAACAACAGAATTAATAAAAAACAGGTCAATGGACCACCTAGCTATGGCTACTCATGGCTCCACTTTTTACGCATTTTTATAGCTCATTTGTTGCATATTATCCTCATATATCATGTCCCATCGAGCCAATTACATGTCTATTATGTATGATTTCCAGTTTCACTTTTTGCATTGTGAGCATTGCATAGTTATGGGTTTTATTTAGTTCTTACTAGTCTCCTTTATTTGTTTTGTAGCAATTAAGGACCAAACACGATGAAAAATGCAAGGTTGGGATCAACAAGGAGGCCTTACACACACCAAGACTTAGGCATTTGGAAGTGTCAAAGATGACATTATTGCAAAGTGCTCAAAATCCGCGTCACTCATACGAATCCAACGAGTCTAGGAACTTTTAAATCCGAGTTCGTGTGAAGAAATGACGACCACTTTACCTAAGGGTGTGTTTGGTTGTGGAACCAAGTGGAATGGAATGTAATGGTTCCATTCCAGAAGAATGGAATGGTTCCGTCTTCGTGTTTAGTAGAGCTAATGAGATGGAATGGAATGATTATGTATATGTGTTTGGTTAGAGGAATTTAAGTACTAGATATCACTTAAATCATTAATCTCTTACCCCTTTCACAAACCAATTCAACAACATTGGCAATGCCAAGTATGTAATGGTTGAAAGAACCTAAATAAATTTGAATAAGGAAAACAAAAAAACATTAGATGCCATGATTGCAGCTGCAACTGAAGTACAAGGCATGTAATCCAACACACAGTCGGCTGCATGAACACGGCATAAAACATTCAGACAGAATGCACAACGCCGGCTACATGAACATGGACTCGAGGTTGATGTGGGCGGGCTCATGCTGACGCTCGCAGCTCCATCCAACCAGCGCGCACATCTCCATCCAGCCGGCGGCACCCGCAGCTCCATCCAGCTCGCGCTCGCATCCAGCTGGCGCTCGCATCTAGCCGGCGTCCGCAGCTCCATACAGTCGACAACGCCCACAACTCCATCCATGTGGCGTCCGCAGCTCCATCCAACCGGCGGCGCCCGGAGAAGGAGGCAGCGGTTGTTGGAAAATGTAGTAGAAAACAAAAAAATCGACCTACGCACCCAAGATCAATATGAAGATGCATAACGGGTTGGGATCGCGATCGTTACCATCACTGAGTTGCAGCAGAAGAAGAATGTGTCTGTGTAGATCGTACTTGGAGTCCCTCAAACCTTTGATGAACGATCCCGCAAACCGCCCACGAACAGTCCCTCGAACGGAAGACGGGAAGCACGGCCTCTATACTTGGTTGCAAGCATGCAACCTTCATGATCCGACAGCACTTCGCCGTCCAGATCTAGTTGTCGCCGGAGAATTAGAGGGAGGAGATTAGAACCACACAGGGCTTCTAATTATGGGGATTAGAGGATTAGTCTAGCTCTAATTAGTCAACTGGGACCAACTAGAACTAAAAGTAAAAGAACTAGAGGAGGCTCCAAAACTTGTGTCTCAAAAGGGTGGAAATCCTCTAGTATATATAGGTTGGAGGGAAGAGGAGGGACACCACAAGGGGAGGGAAAGACCCTCCCCTTTGGCCGGCCAAGGGAGGAGGAATTGGACTCCTCCCCCACTCCAATTCGGCCTCCTTCCTTAGGGAAGGAAGGCGCCTCCCCACTTGGCCTTTATGGCCCAAGTTGCCTTCCACCTCTTGGTCTTTTAAGGCCCGTTGATTTCTAGTTAAATATAAAATAGTTATAAATACTTTTAAACCATTTTATATATGATTTAACATCCCCGGAAACATTTTCCACCTATATATATTTATCGGTAATACCTGGCATTACCCGATATTCACTAAAACCCTTCTAGTGACACCGAAACGCTAACCTATTAACCTAGAGCCTAGTGCCAGTTTCTGTTTCTTTCCTTGCTTTTGAGTTTTACAGAACAAAATACTAAACGGAGTCCAAACGGAATAAACTTTCGCGATGTTTTTTCTTGGACCAGAAGACATCAAGAGGACTTGGAGAGGGGGTCAGAAGATTCTCGGGGAGGCCACAATCCCTCAAGGCGCACCCTAGGGGGGCGCCTCTCTGGCTTATGGCCCCTCGGAGGTCCTCTAACCCTAACCTTTGCACTATAAATTCCCAGATATTCTCAAACCACCAGAAGCGTCCACTAAAATACTTTTCCGCCGCCGCAAGCCTCTGTTCCCATGAGATCCCATCTTGGGCCTTTTTTGGCACTTCGTCGGAGTGGAATTGGATCATGGAGGGCATCTACGTCAACCTTGCTGCCCTTCCGATGAAGCGTGAGTAGTTTACCACAGACCTATGGGTCCATAGCTAGTAGCTAGATGGCTTCTTCTCTCTCTTTGATCTTCGATACCATGTTCTCCTCGATGTTCTTGGAGTTCTATCCGATGTAATATTCATTTGCGGTGTGTTTGTCGAGATCCGATGAATTTTGGATTTATGATCAGATTATCTATTAATATTATTTGAGTCTTCTCTGAACTTTTTGATGCATGATTAAATATCTTTGTATTTCTCTTCAAAATATCGGTTTGGTTTGGCCAATTAGATTGGTTTTTCTTGCAATGGGAGAGGTGCTTAGTTTTGGGTTCAATCTTGCAGTGTCCTCACCCAGTGACATAGTAGGGGTAGCCAGGCACGTATTGTATTGTTGCCATCAAGGATAAAAAGATGGGGTTTTATCATACTGCTTGAGTTCATCCCTCTACATCATGTCATCTTGCTTAAGGCGTTACTACGTTCTTATGAACTTAGTACTCTAGATGCATGCTGGATAGCGGTCGGTGTGTGGAGTAATAGTAGTAGATGCAGGCAGGAGTCGGTCTACTTGTCACGGACGTGATGCCTATATTCATGATCATTGCCTTAGATATTGTCATAATTATGCGCTTTTCTATCAATTGCTCAACAGTAATTTGTTTACCCACCATATGTTTTCTTTCAAGAGAGAAGCCTCTAGTGAAACCTATGGCCCCGGGGTCTATTTTCCATTGTATATTTTCAGAATTATAAATAAAAAACCCAAAACTACCTTGTTGTAATTTATTTATATTTACTTTAGTTTGCTCTTTTATTTATATTTTATACCTATCTCTATTAGATCTCACTCTTGTTTGTGACCGTGAAGGGATTGACAACCCTTTTTTCGCATTGTGTGCAAGTGTTTGTTAGTTTGTGCATGTGCATAGATTGGAGACTTGCTTGTGCCTCCTATTGGATTGATACATTGGTTCTTAATTGAGGGAAATACTTATCTCTACTTTGCTTCATCACCCTTTCCTCTTCAAGGGGAAACCAACGCAAGATCAAGAAGTAGCAGGAAGAATTTCTGGCGCCGTTGCCGGGGAGGTTCTACATCAAGCCTACCCAGTACCCATCATGAACTCTGATATCTTGCACTTACATTATTTACCATTTGCCTCTTGTTTTCCTCTCCCCCACTTCTAAAACGTTTTCAGAAAAACACAAAAATATTTGCCTTTTTATTCGCCATTCTTTCGTTCGTCTTTTTCATTTGCTTTTCAGTTTACTTGTGTGCTAGATTGCTTGCTTCGTTACGTGCTACTTCTTGAGCTTGCGTTGGTTTTTCCCTTGAAAAGGGAAGGGTGATGCAGCAAAGTAGAGATAAGTATTTCCCTCAGTTTGAGAACCAAGGTATCAATCCAGTAGGAGACATCACACAAATCACTGAATACATGCACAAACAATCAAACAACTTGCACTCAATGCAATAAAGGGGTTATCAATCCCTTCATGATTATTTGCAAAGGTGAGATTTGATAGAGATAGATAAACGATAAAGTAAATATTTTTGGTTTATAGATCGGAAAGTAAAAGATTGCAAAATAGTATATCAGAAACTTATATGATGGAAAATAGACCCCGGGGGCATAGGTTTCACTAGAGGCTTCTCTCAAGATAGCAAATAATACAGTGGGTGAACAAATTACTGCCGAGCAATTGATAGAAAAGCGCAAAGTTATGACGATATCTAAGGCAGTGATCATGAACATAGGCATCACGTCCGTGTCAAGTAGATTGAAACAATTCTGCATCTACTACTTTTACTCCACACATCAACCACTATCCAACATGCATCTAGAATATTAAGTTCATAAAGAATGGAGTAACACATTAAGTAAGATGACATGATGTAGAGGAATTAACTCAAGCAATATGATGAAAACCCCATTTTTTATCCTCGATGGCAACAATACAATACGTGCCTTGCTGCCCTGACTGTCACTGGTAATTATGTCTTCTCAAAATAACATGGCCAAAGAAAGCTTATCCCTACAAAATCATGTAGTTTGGCTATGCTCCATCTTCATCACACAAAATATTTAAATCATGCACAACCCCGATGACAAGCCATACAATTGTTTCATACTTTTGATGTTCTCAAACCTTTTTAACTTTCACGCAATACATGAGTGTGAGCCATGGACATAGCACTATAGGTGGAATAGAATATGGTGGTTGTGGAGAAGACAAAAGGAGGGAGATAGTCTCACATCAACTAGGCGTATCAATGGGCTATGGA